AAAATATACTAAGTGACATATAAATCCGAACACCCAGTTTAAATGGTTTTATTTTAATAAAAGTTGGTGAATGTATTTATCTTACTGTAAATAACAAGTGAAAAAATTTTCAGCCTTATCAGTTGGACATTCCGGTTTTTATACTGCTTTTTTTTAATCCACTAACGCTCTAAAAATGAATATTTCAGCCGCAGTAAAGAATCAACGTTGGCGGATTTTGGTTCTTGACATCCTTTACGATCGGTTACGATGCCTAGAGTACGGAGACCTGTACGATTTCGTCAACTTAGTGAGTTTGATAGGGGCCGTATAGTGGGACTTCGGGAAGCTGGACTTTCTTTTCGGGCAATTGCAGTTAGAGTGCAAAGAAGTGTAGACACTGTGGTTAGGTGTTGTCAGGCATGGCTTCGAGAAGGCCGTACGCAAAGAGCAAGGGCAACTGGACGCCGCCGTAGAACAACAGACCGTGAAGATCGCCGCCTAAGATTATTGGCCTTAAGGGACCGTTTCTCCACTACCAGGTCCATTGCAAATGAATGGTTTGCAGAACATGGAAGACCTATTGGCATGCGAAGTGTTTACCGACGAATGAGAAGTTTTGGCTTGTTTTCATCCCGGCCACACTGGTTCCTCCCTTTAACTCGAGAACACCGACGTAATCGCCTTGAGTGGTGCAGACAACGGTCACTCTGAGCTCAGGAATGGAACAGTATTGTCTTTAGTGACGAGTCTCGATTTTGTTTAGGCATGCACGATGGTCGTGCCAGGGTTAGAAGGCGACGTGGTGAAAGGAGGAATCCACAGTTTTTTGTTGAAAGACATGTTCATCACACTGTTGGAGTTATGGTTTGGGGTGCTATAGCTTATGGTTCCAGGTCACCTTTAATCTTCATCAGAGGTAACATGAACGCGCAGCGTTATATCCACGAAGTTCTAGAACCCCATCTTTTACCCTATCTTGACACCCTGGCAGATCCAACTTTCCAACAAGATAATGCTCCACCACATGTTGCAAGAGTCACAATAGACTTCTTTCAACATAATGATGTCACATTGTTACCATGGCCTCCAAGATCTCCCGACTTATCCCCAATTGAGCACGTGTGGGATATGATGGGTAGGAGATTGCTCAATTTGCAACGTCCTCCTCAGACTCTAGAAGCACTTCGAGAGGAGTTGGTGGTTGCCTGGAATGAGATACCACAGGAGGACATTGACCACCTGATCAGAAGCATGCCTAGGCGCGTTGGAGAATGCGTAGCACATCAGGGTGCATCCACACATTATTAAAGGTCAAAAGGCTTTAAAGCAGTGCAATCATTTTGAAATTTTTATCATTTACTTATTATGCTTCAATAAGTACTTATACAAAATTTTATTAAAATAAAACCATTTAAACTGGGTGTTCGGATTTATATGTCACTTAGTATACATTGGGGAGTCAGCGAATAAATTATTGCAAGAAGAGGTCATACCATGGAAGATGTGCTGCAGCTGTAGTGAGCCACAATACCGAGCGGCCTGTCTATGTGGTTCAAATACATTTGCGTTCTAAGCTTAGTCCAACCTCGCTTATCGCTAAGATGGAATAAACTCAAACGCAAGAATCTTGAAAAGAAACTCAGGCCAAAAATGCTGATATAAAAATAACTAACAATTCGGATAACAATTCCGAAGAAAATGAATAGTTTTATGGCGAATTCTGTCAAAAACCTGACATGAACGACATTGATTTGGAGGTTGCTGAGCAAGAATTTTTAGGGAAACTTAAAAAAAGTGACGACGAGATTTTGCAGATCGAACAAGTCACCAAATCACAGGACTGTACTTTGTGGCGCCTTCATCGAAAGACATTGTTGACAGCGTCTCGATTTGGTGAAGTTTGTAGAAGATGGCAGACAACAAGCTATAAAGTTCTAGTAAACTCCATCATATACCCAACAGAAATTTCTATTAAGGCAATAAAGAAGGCAATACAAAAATCATTGGACACAGCAGTTCAATATTGTGGTTTGTTTATTGATCGCACAAATCCATTTCTGTCAACATCGCCTCTATCTACCTATTACAGTAGACAAGAAATATACTTAATCCAGGTATAAGCCTACCTGTTTATTGCTTTGCAAAAACTACCTAACTGTTTCCTCTTATTATGACGGCATAAGATATTTTTATGACCCTCGTGCAATTGTTACCATGTACCACATGAACCTTGTAAACATAATTGTGTTTATTGACATGAATAAACGAATTTGAATTTGAGTTCTTGAATTTATTTTACTAAAGATATCAAATTAGTTGAATACATTTTTCTTTAGTCGGAACGCACCGTCCCGTCGCTTGGACTGGCAGGACGAAACAGTAGACGAATTTCGCCCAGAAACCGATTTGCACTTTACAGCTTACGTTTCATTTTTTATTATTTCCAAATAAAACTCTTCCAGTGTGCTAAAAATAAAGTCCACAGGGTGCTAACGATCCACTTTTTCGATTTTATCTACTAGGATCGTTTTAAAATGTCAAGAAAGTCAGCAGCAGCGTTTCAACCCACCATGCACAAAGACAAAATTTTGTAAAAAGCTCTGATAGGCAATTATGTTCTGCTTATATCCAAAAAAACATCACAATCTTCAGAACACAAATTGAAGGTAACGGCGAAATACGTACATTTCACGGGTCATGAAATTCAGATGAAAATGCAGGAATAAAATCTACCAAATTATCGTTCTCAAAAACATATTTCCTTGACATACCGATAATTTTAAAGTTCCACGCTAAATTCCCCTTTACTTGACAGGAGCGATATCCGAATTCATTCTTTCATACTGGCGGCAGTTGCAGATAGATCTTTTGGCTCTTGATGTCAAACCTCTATAGGTTTGACACCAAAAATCTTTACCTGCTATAGAGCAGGTAAAGATTTTTTCAAATCGTGATCACATTATTCGTCGGATGTTCGTTACTTAAATTGTCTGTAACCATTTCTTAATAATAGAACGTATTTCACTGATGTCAAAGATGCAACGTTTAGAATCACCTTCCCCCAACCCCTACTTTTTAAGCAGTACATTTTTTTATGTCAATGATAAGGAACCCCTGTAACGTCAAAAACGGAGTTTCAGCAATTGTTACTTTTTCTTTTTTGCCTATAGCACTCTTGCCATTGGACTAAAACTACAAAGCTTTGACATACTAGTAACCCCGTTTGGAAATTTCATAAAAATCCGAGCGGTAATTTCCAAGTTGATGATGAGTGATATAGTTTCTCGTGATGTAGATGTCACATGACTTAAAAAAACATAACATCTCATTTTAGAAATTTTTCGCGATTACAATACTTCCTCGCCACAGGCATGGGAAGTAAAACGGCTCTAAAATCGAGGAGTATCAGCGATCGCGATCATGAGTACCTATTTGCAGAACGACTTATCTATGCGATATCATATGAAATAGGGCCACCAAATTATCTGAATACGTCCTTTCTTAATTTGTTCATTGCGCCGCACACTTGGTGGCAGCACGAAACAGTAGACAAAACTCGGCCAAAATACGATTTGCCCTTCGAAATTGACGTTTTATTTTTTTTATAGTTTTGGATGAAATTTTCAGTGTGCTGAAAACAAAACCCCACAGGGTGCTATAGAGCCACTTTTTCATTTTTTTCACTAGGTTCTTTTTAAAAAAATCTCGAAGTTGAACAGAAAAAGTGCGCAGTTCAACCCATCATAAAACTTGTGCAAAAACAAAATTTCAAAAAATGCTCCTAAGGCATTATTATTATAATTATTATTATATAATTATCTTCTGAACATACTGTATGAATTTCATTCAAAAATATTGAAAAATGGAGTGTCAGTTTCGCAGCAGCTGAACCCGGAGCCGCCTCAATTCCTCCGTCAAAAATGGTGAGGAAGTATTAGAATAGCGAAAAAAATCGAAACTGGGATCACGAAGGCCTAAGGCCTCAACACCCATGAGGTACCGTGGGGCTATAGGGGAATACATTGGAAAGGGGGAACGCCACACGGACTCTGGCGAGGGAACACGTGTGCATGCAACATGCACACATTCTGGCCCCGCCTACGAGATCCGCCGGGTGGTACCTCTGCGTTCGACAGTCAGAAAGCGTCTACCATTCTGTTGATAAAGACATTTCTTACTATTATTAAATCATAGCTAAAGCATAAGTCGATGTAACTTGGCTATACAATTATATTTCGTGTAGTTCTTTTTCTTGGCATCAGTATATACGAGTATAATTTCACAAAAATGGATATCACCGTGGTCATTACGAAAGTTACTATTACGCCTCATATTCTAATTTTGTTGCCACGGGGAGTCAGACCTGCTCGTAACTCGCGAGTGAGACGAAGTGATGTGCGTCCATAAAACAGCCTTTTTTCAGTTCGCATTTTGCTAAAAAGTTTAATGGAACTTGAAAGGAATAAAGGGTTTCATTAAGGACTCATCTTATGCAACCTTGAAGCCTAAAGACTCTGAAAAGGCTGTAACAACTTTTTTATCTGTGACTTTAGGTAGGTTGTATTTTAGTTTAGTGGCGTGGTTTTATCAAATTTTAACACAGCGCTTCATAAATAGCTATAAGGACTTCCTGCAGTCTTTAATAAAGCTGAAATTTTTCCTTGCCTCGGATTGCGTTAGCCGCTTAAGGTGCTGGGAAACCGAAACAAGGTAACTATTGCTCTGGGTACTACTTGTTTTACACCAGCTATGTAGAAAAATATAAACAATTCGAATATACGAAATGGTCAACTCTCCGTAAAAAGCACAACGCTTTTTTGTACATGTAGGTATAGAACAACTGTTACGAGGGATGTCTTTTAAGTTTTGCATATAGAAACATAGTAGGCCGCGCGGATCGAACGTCAGTGCTGAATCTTAACCTCACTCTTTAGTAAACTTAAATTCAAAGTTTCACAACAATACGTGTAGTGTTCTCACTAGAGTGAATTTTTAAGTGTCACCAAGTCATTAGAAAAATGGAACTCAACCGAGAACATTTTTGCGCCATAATTTATTACAACTTTCAGAGACAATTATCGCAACAAGAATGCCTTGCTGAGTTAGGCTGACTGTTTTCGACAACGAAGCGCTACATCAGTCGACAATTTCCCGTTGGTATGGAGAATTCAAACGTGGACGGGTGAGTCTTAGCGACGATCCCAGGGTGGGTGCACCAAAAACGGCAGTCACCCAGGAAAACGTCGATGCTGTGCGCAAACTCATCATTGAAGATAGACATGTGACATATCGCGAGATTGAGGCGTCCTTGAAGATCTCAAAGACCTTAATTCAAAAAAATTTACATGAACAATTAGGAGTAAGAAAATTAGTTTCTCGTTGGATACCCCACCTGTTGACTGAAGAGCAGAAAGCAGCCAGGGTTAATTGGTGTCAAAAAACGCTTGACCATTTCAATTCCGGAAACTCAAAAAATGTGTGCAGCATTTTTAGTGGTGATGAATCGTGGATTTACTGTTATGAACCAGAAAATAAATGACAGTCGGCTGTTTGGGTGTTCCGAGGTGAAGAAAAGTCAACAAAAGTCATCCGTTCTCGAAGTGTTTCGAAATAGATGGTCGCGACATTTGTGTCAAAAGCGGGATATTGCAACAATTCCTCTTAATGAGCAAAGAACTGTTACTGCGGATTGGTATACCACCATTTGTTTGCCAAAAGTCATCACCGAGCTTCGGAAAATCAACCCCGAAAGAAGAATCATCCTCCACCAAGACAATGCAAGCTCGCACACAGCCCAAAAGACAAGGCAGTATTTAACGGAAGAAAACGTGGAATTATTGGACCATCCTCCATATAGTCTCGATCTAAGTCCTAACTATTTCTTTAGTTTCCCGAATATTATAAACAGACTGCGGTCAAAGGTTCCAGTCACCGGAAGAAGCAACTGACGCATTCAAAAATGCCGTTTTGGATCTGCCAGCAAACGAGTGGAATGAGTGCTTCGAAAATTGGTTCGAACGCATGCAGATGTGTATTAATCTTCGTGAAGAATACTTCGAAAAACAATAAAGTCATTCAAAACTACCTACCGTGTTGTTTTATTTCCATATGCAAAACTTAAAAGACATCCCTCGTATAGGTTATTCATCAAACTACTAAATTATCTTAACACTTTTTTCTATACAATGTAATACGCCTATAATATTTACAGGACTATAACAAGAATATTAGGAATCAAAAAGTTTTTTAAAAATGTTTCAGTATCTGCATACCACAAAATCGTTATACCAAAGAAGACTACCTCAGTTATCTAAATTTAAATTAGACTCCACTATAGAATTTTTGCATGGTTTTTGGAAAATTTTATGTTCGCTTTCTGGGCTATCGTGAAAATGGAATTAATACTAATAAGAATACATATTTATTTAAAATGTTTACAAATAACAATGAAATAAATTTGAACGATCGCATAGAAAGGAATACGAATCATTGTGCATGGGTTATGTGACTATTCACAATACATCAAATTTTTATGCATTTTTTGATATAATATAAAGGTGAACACAATGAAATATCTTGATATCAAAATTTGAAGAAATAAGTAAACATCCTGAATGATAGAAGTAAGTGGTACATCAATTTGTTGGCTCCAGAAATATGGGAAAAAGGTAATTCCAAGTAAGTGTTGTTTAGGTCGATAGCCTGATGAATTTTACAGGTAGGTCGAGGTGCAGATATTACCCATTTATTTAATTCCTTTTCAAACTTGTTAATATTTGTTTGTTTCTTAATTTCAGGTGCTAGAAGATTATAAGATCTTTGGCATAAACATTTTCAGCAATTCATATCTATTTCTCGTTCCTTACTTGTATTCAGCACAATTTAAATTTTTTATTATGTTGGTCTGCGACCATGGAATAAAAACGAAGTTGTCTAATATCAAGTATTTCTGTTTCAGCATACAAAGTTTCCGTTGTATATGTAATTGGTTTATTGTGCATTGTTTCCAAGATTAGTGTTTTGTCTAGAGCATCGATGTAAGTTTTGTTGGCTACTCCCCAAATTATGCTAACATAATTTATGTGACTTTCGGCTAATGAATGATAAAGAATTTTCAATTCTGATCGTCGGCAAAACTTAATAATTTTTCCAGCTGTTTAGATATCGTACAATTAAAAAAATATCAGATTTACCCCTCGAGCCGCCTGGAAAATGAGGATTGAAGTATTCACACATCGCACATGATTTTTTAGGATTGATCTCTCTGGAGGCAATGGTGAGCCGCCTCCAGGGGAGGCAACGGTGCCATGTCCTCCTTTCCCCCCAAGGCCTCAAACTTGTAAGAAAAAATGAGGAAGGGCGAGAGAAGGAGAGGATAGGAGGAAATAAAGGAGAGGGAGAGGAGGGAAAAGGAGGAAAGAGAGGGAAGATGAGAATAAAGTTGTGTCACCTCCTGAAAGTAGGCCACCCACACTACTCCCCCCCCGAAAAAAATCCGCCTTTTGGACCGATTCCGATGCAAAACGGCCTGCACGCCCTTGTTGACATGCAGGTGCAACCCAGATATCGCGTTCTGGTTCTTATAATGGACGGTTAATAAAGAGTATAAAATGAAAAGTCTCCTAAATCGTCGACGCTTCATTGTCCCTTTTCCACCTCTTTGTTGGATCGAACCTGCAAGCGCCCTCAACGTGGCGGCGTAGGTGCACTCGAAGGTACTTAAGCCCTCCAACAAATTCAGCAAGGTCGCTTCTTTTATGAGAAGAGAGGCTTTTCACTTTTTTTAATTCGGAAAAGGGATGTTTCCATAGGACTCATCCAGTTGAAAGTTGGGAGATAAATTGTAAGTCAAACATTCCTGTACATTTTGCTACTTCTGATGAAACTTAGAACTAAAAAATAACGGATTCTTGTTTCTCATATTAGAAAACCTCCCTATACTGAGTTGTATGCCAAAATCTAAAATACTTCTCAAGCAGTAAAGAAAAATAGAAAATCAAATTGTAACTTATTTAATATAACATATAACAGTAACATATTTTGGTCTGTAGTATCTCCTGTTTCGAGATTTCCCAACCTTTCGCAGACATCATGTAGCAGTATGTGGAACATCTGTTTGTGTGTTTAAACGAACTATTAAGAACATTAGAATGTACTTCTTTAAATCAAGACTGTTATGTATTTGCTGCGGGGATTTAACCCGTTGTCAAATAAATAAAATCATAATGTTTTCGCGAGTATCTTACTTATAACGAGTACACAAAGAGATTTCAAATAACTGGCCCCATACACTGGCCGCTGGAGCGCTACTATCGCACTTTTATATACATTGAATTTTTCACAAATCTATGAAAAATTACGGTTATGTAGCAACGATGAATTTTTCAAAAATATTTGAGCAAAATTGGATCAGGAAAAAACTATTTTTGAGAAAACACGTTTTTGAGTTAGGGGCTCCTAGGGACGACCTACTGATATGAAAATTTGGTTGAGATGATTTAACGCAATATAGCTAATTTGGACCGATCTAGATTTGTATAAAAAAACATAATATCTCATTTTAGAATGTTTCTTGATTACAATACTTTCTCAACAGTGTAGCGTGGGAAGGAAAAGACTTACTCTACAGGGTGTTTCCTAATAAAATGTCAATCTTTTTAGGGGCGATTTTTGGGTTTATTTTAAGAAGGAAAAGGATACAGAGTGGTAAAGCCTTAAAAATTTGGCGTATAACAAGAGGCACTTTTATTATACCATATTTTTTTGATTTCCACCAGTGGCGTTCATACGGAATTTCACCTGCCCATTTTGAATTGAATTTTGAATTTTTTTTCAATTTGGTCCACGGTTTTTGCTTAAGAAGAAAACAGTTTCTCTGCATAACAATATGCAATACCAAGAAATTAAGCAATCAACTTTGCTTAGAAATGACGGTGAATTTCTTGTAAAATGTTTATTTTAAAAAAAGTCAATGGCGTGCTGTCAATGTCTGCTAACATAGGCAAGTGGATGGACCAAAAAATCGCCCCCTTATATATTGATATTCAATTAATAAAAATCCTGTATTACCTTTAACTTCAATTAAGCACATTCGTGTTTCTTGATCATTTTTAAGACAAATAAAAGGTTACACTTATATCGACTTTGACAAAAATTGATGATACGCTACTGATATCTCTTACAATGGAAATTATTCTTGAGGAGCCAATCATTTCTAAGCAAATTTGTCGCTTAATTTTTCTCAATTTGGTCCACGGTTTTTGCTTAAGAAGAAAACAGTTTCTCTGCATAACAATATGCAATACCAAGAAATCAAGCAATCAAATTTGCTTAGAAGTGACCGTGAATTTCTTGTAAAGTTTATATTTTAAGAAAAGTCAATGGCGTGCCATCAATGTCTGTTAAAATAGGCAGGTGGGTGGACCAAAAAATCGCCCCCTTATATATTGATATTCAATTAATAAACATCCTGTATTACCCTTAACTTTAATTACCTATGCACTTTCGTGTTTTTTGATCATTTTTGGAACAAATAAAAAGTTACACTTATATCGACTTTGGCAGACATTGATGATACGTTACTGATATCTCTTACAATGGAAATTATTCTTGCATTTCTAAGCAAATTTGATGCTTAGTTTTTTTCAATTTGGTCCACGGTTTTTGATTAAGAAGAAAACAGTTTCTCTGCATAATAAAATATAATACCAAGAAATCAAGCAATCAAATTTGCTTAGAAATGGCCGTGAAGTTCTTGTAAAATTTTTATTTTAAGAAAAATCAATGGCGTGCCATCAATGTCTGCTAAAATAGGCAGGTGCCTCTTAGATATTGATATTCAATTAAGAAACATCCTGTATTACCCTTAACTTCAATTACCTATGCACGTTCGTGTTTCTTTATCATTTTTGTGGCAAATAAAAAGTTACACTTATATCGACTTGCTGTCTTCCTTGCAATGCTATTTCCTATGACGCTAGTTCCACATGAAATCCGTAATAAAATGCAAACCTTCAGTTTCCGAGAGCACTTTTCAAACTGAATTGCATGTTTGAGATTTGAGACAAAGATTCTTAGAAGCGCTTGTGTTAAAAGGACTTCAGCCTAGATGAAAGTTCAAATTATTATGAGATTCCAGCGAGTATTAAACTTGTATATTTCGAAAGTTGCCGGAACATATAATCGTCCTTCTTTAATGCTACAAACGTATTCGGTATTCGCACATTTTAGCCTGCAGGGGGATATAAGATTCGATAGAAAATGTTTCAATATTAAAAAATGAAGATTGTTAATAAAAGAGTCTCTAAGGCGCGGTTGTATCGCGCAGCTCTCCATGTACAGGTTTCATTCAAGAATACAAAGCAAGGCTGGTGGGTCTAACTGGCAGACCTATCAGTCCACGATAATAACCCATTTTATTGAATGGTGAATACATACTTCCTTTTGGCGTGTCAGACAATTTTTTTATACAGGGTGGCGCATCGAAAACGAAACAGACGCATTTACTGGCCGCTCAGTTTTTTTTTTGGAAAAACGCTCAGACCCGTCGATTTTGTTTTCGAGGGGGACACAGGTTTGGCAAAAAATCACGTTAACACGTGCAGCCCCCTGGGCGGGGGTGACACCAACCCAGAATCTTAAATGGAAAGGGGGGTCGAGTGCTGCCTTATTTTAAAGGTCTTTCTTTATACTGATGTAACTAAATACATGAGCTTTAGTTCAGTAGTTTTGAAGATTTATTGATTTAAAGCTTAAAGTAGACTTTAATAGGTACATCAGATTAGTTTGTACTACTTTCAGAAGAAATTTGACTAAAAGAATTTACTTAAAAAGTAAATGCTTTTCTTCACTACGCTCATGGTTTGTTTATCATTTTGTTATTGAAAATAGCTATTGGAGCGTTTCTTGTGGCAAAAAAGTTATTTCTTGAAGAAAGATAAGGAAATATCTCGTACTTATTTTAAATAGGAATTTAGTACATAGCTGGCGATTGATTTGACCAAACGTTGGTGCTAAAATAACTTGTAACGCTTTATTACATAAACCATGGTATATTCCACAGCAGAAAGAGTTGAAATTATCGAACTATTTTTCGGAAATAATCAGTGCGCTAATAGAACAGCAGAAATATTTAATGAGCGACATGAGAACAGTAACGTGCATCGAAAATATGTACTTGAACTTGTAGCTAAATTTCGGGAAACTGGGTCAGTCGCCAATAAAAAACGCAACATTGAAAATCCCATAAGGATTCTAAAGGCCCATAGCTTTCATCCGTATAAAATTCACCTGGTACAAGAACTTAATGAAGACGATTTTGATCGGCGATTACAATTTTGTGAAGATATGAGTGAATGAATTATAAACGATGAACATTTTCTATTCAACACTTGCTTTTCCGACGAATGTTCCTTTTTCTTAAATGGCATAGTAAATCGTCATAACTGCCGATATTAGTCCGATTCTAATCCCAGAATTTATCATGAGGTTCATACACAGCAGCCACAAAAATTAAATGTTTGGGCTGGTATTTTTGGCGATCATTTAGTTGGTCCTTTTTTCTTACCTGGAAATTTGACCGGTGAAATGTATTTGGAATTACTGGAAGACGCCATAGATCCTGCACTAACAGCCATAATTGAAAATCAGAATGATCGGCGGTACATTGCGAATAGGTTGATGTTCCAACAGGATGGTGCCCCACCACATTACGTTTTACGTGTTCGACAATATTTAGATCAGACGTTTCCAGATCGATGGATTGGTAGAAGAGGTGTCAATGAATGGCCCCCAAGATCGCCAGATTTATCACCTTTGGATTTCTTTATGTGAGGTCATTTAAAAAGCACAATCTATGCTACTCAGCCAACATCATTAGAAGACCTGCGACAAAGAATTGTGAATGAGTGCCTTCAAATGACTCCTCAAATATTGCAAAATGTGCGGCAACATTTTGAGCAAAATCTTTATTATTGCATGGAGAGTCATGGTAGCCATTTTTATATCATTATAAAGGGAATTGAAAGACCTTTAAAATAAGGTATCACTCGACCCCCCTTTCCATTTAAGATTTTGGGGGTGGTATCACCCCCGCTTTGGGGGCTGCACGTGCTAACGTGATTTTTGGTCAAACTTGTGTCCCCCTCGAAAACAAAATCGACGGGTCTTAGCGTTTTTAAAAAAAAAACTGAGCTGCCAGTAAATGCGTCTGTTTCGTTTTTGATGCGCCACCCTGTATGTATCTCGTTTGGAATCTGCAGTCGTCAAAAACCCTTCGAATTAATGACTCATTGTTATGTGATAAATATATACTTCATTTTAATGCATTTGTAAGAGTTCGAAAAAATATCTGAGAAAAATACTGCTGCATTCAGCTAGTCCGACGTCTCGAAAATGACAAATTTGCGGGGCTATAATTTCCAATATAAATTGTTTAGTAATTAATCATATACAATCCTGGTGTTCGACAAATTCCATGCTTTTTGGAATCCGACTACCTAAATGTGGCGTTTTAGCGAGGTTATGTTTAAATTCAAGGTAGAATATGTTTCGGATTGTGTTACACGAATTTTCTGCTGCAAAATGCTTAAAAATGCAAAAAAATGAAAACATCACAGTATTTCAGATACGGAAATTAGTTCTTTTTCAGTGTTTTAATTTTAATTCATTTTCTATTCAGTTTTCGTATAACAAATCCCCGCCCCCCCCCCCATCAGAAAGTGCTTCAAAATTGATATTGAAATGCTATATTTCGAAGTCGAACATAGTTGTTTTTTAAATAACTACATTCAATAACAAGAAAAAAGCAAACAATTTTAATTTTTCTTTTAAATTTTGCTTCACAACTTTCCTCACGGTGTTGCATATATAGAATACCTGATTCTATGTACTTTTTGGATATAACCTCCAACAGAAAAAATGTTTAAAATTAATATTACTATTAAAATGTTGAATTTCGAATTCAAAAATGTTTTATTTGAAAAAAGTATATTCAATAAACGAGTAAAAAGTTAACAATTCTAGTTTTTCAAATGTGTTCGATAACTTTTTCCGCATTGTAATAGATATAGGTATTGAATCGGGTATTGCTTGTAAAGAAATATTTTAAAATGCTTAGTTTATTAAGAGCTAAATAGAAGCTTATTTTTAATTTAATTTTCACTAGTTCACTAGTATTTATGATGTCAAATAACTAATTTGGTTTCATAGTTTATTGTCCCTTACATTATATAAAATGAACATTCAGCCTCAAAAGGCATACAAATAGATCCAATTAAATCAAATATTCGATTTAAACTGATTCCGATACAGATTTCAGTTTGATACAGAAGTGGTGTTGAACATGTGCGTGTCAGGATCGGCGAATGAGCATTCTGAATGAACTTACCACCAATGCGCTAATACTAGAAGCTTTGCCAAATAGACCAGTGACTGCGTTAACTCTAATCAGATAAACATGGCATTATGTGTGACATTCTAAAGCTGCACGCCTTTCAGCACGATTGTCGAAGGTAATCATTATGAATATGAAAACAAGGATATGCTTATATGCACTTCTACCTTTTTCTCCGAAGCAAGACCTTATACTTTTACCTTATGCTTCCGAGGATATGCTTCTCTTTTATGAATACGGCTCATTGTATCTGACCACAACGCCAGACCTACCATAAAGTATGTATGAACCACCATTACCTTGGGTAAGTGAGATATTCAGATGAAAATTTTTATATTTCTCAGCCCTTCGCTACTGAACTAGATATGGTGCACTTTTCTCCACGTTTTCGATGCGTCGTCATTACGGGTCCATTGTCTATCGACGCTTGAAATATTTACAAACAGGAAGCCGCGAAAGTGATACCCCTTTCGAAGCTTGTCGCCAGCGCTAATGATTGCAGGAAGAGAATCAGTTACAAAAAGACAGCTGTAAGAAATTTAATATCGGGTAGCTGAGAAATATAATGAGCCGCTTTTAGCGACTTTCGATTGTAGCCACATTCTATATAGCCCGGTAAAGGAACCGAAAAAGAATTCCCAAATCCTTGCAAAAATTGTATTATAAATTGGATTCAGGTAACTGAAGTAATCGTTTTTAGTTTAACGAGAAGTTTCGGATCCGGTTTTGAAAAGATTAATTTTCAATTTATTTAGTTACGGTCCTGTATCGTATATAGAAAAAGTTGTTAATACCATTTTATAGCTTGATGAATAAGCTACAAGTTATTTATATAATATTTTTATATCAATTTTCTTAGAGCTGTGCTTAGTCCTTACGCATAGCAAGTACAAAAAATAAATACGTTAAAAAATATTCATAAAATAAATTACAAGTTATACGGTTCTATAAGCTTCATACAACATATATTTGTATGATGACTATCTCAAAGGAATATGGTACAATATTTTCATTACATTTGATCGTAAATGCGGAAGTACGTTTTGGTATATTATTTGCAACCTCAAACTGTTCTAGCTTTTGCGAGTGAAGCCGATCTATCGGTAAGAGAAGTTTCTCCAACAGATCCTTAGGCAGTATACTGCACTGTGAACGAGCGTGGAGCGAGAAAGGTCGAGGGCAGCAAGCGAGGGGTTCTGGACGTCCCAGAGGAACAAGACCGCCGGTTGAGACTTCTGACTCTGAGAGACAGATTCAGTAGTACTCGAGCCATCGCTAATCAGTGGTTTGACGAACATGGAAGGATGGTTGGTATGCGTACGAATACCTTGACCCCTTTTTTCTTATCGCCCACATTGGGTGCTAGCTCTCACAGCTCAACATCGGTAGGTGCGAATTTTTTCCGAAAATACGACTTCCCTTTCGTTCATTTTCAGCGCACCTTAGGCAGAGCAGGTAGTATTTGAACGGATCAATAATATTACCTTCTTTTTGAGTTTTCAAGCATTTCGCATTCAATTGTTCTGTATAGAAACCTTTGGTTGCTCATGGAATACATTTTTAAAAGAATCATTAACACTTTTTTTGTCGCACCATGTATAAGTGGTATGTATTTTAGTACGAGTACAAATATTTTCATATCGAAGGGTCGATGGCGTGTATGAGCCGTATTCATAAAACAAAGGATATCCTTGTAATTGCAAATTTTGAAGGAAATCCTCCAGATGGTATTTATAATAATTTGAAGTAAATGCTTTTGCTTTTTGGATATAAGCATATCCTTCAAAGCAGTGACATAAGTAAAATGATATTCATAATCTTCACCTTATACTTGGCATGGGAAGCATATCCTTCAAAAATTCCATTGGCCAGGAACTTGGAGTTAGTCAAGCAACGGTATCTCGGACTGTGGATAGAGTTGTGAACAGCATAGTTGCACAGTCGAACGAATGGATCAAGTTTCCAACTACCAACCAAGACCTGAGGGAGGCCAAGCGGATTTGGCGAAGCATGTATAAATTTCCGACAGCAATTGGTGTAATTGATTGTACACATATAGGAATCCTGAAACCAAATCGACATGGAGATGAGTATATCAACCGAAAAGGGAAACCCGCTTTAAATGTGCAAGCCACTTGTGATGCCAGAGAGATGTTCACAAGTGTTGATGTCGGTTGGCCTGGATCAGTGCATGATTCCAGAATATGGAGAAATTCACAGACTAGATCACAACTAATAAATAAAGCAAATGTTGTACTACCTGGCGATGTCGGTTATGGTATTGAGCCATGCCTTATGATTTCCTTCAGAAATCCTATTCTAGGTGCAGAAATAAACTATAATAAGCTTTTAAAACAAGAAAGAGTTATAATTGAACGCTGTTTCGACCAACTGAAACGCCGGTTTCCTATCCTACAGTACGTTTGCCGCGTAAAGTTGGGAAATGTGCCGAAAATAATTATTGCTTGTATTGTACTCATAATGTTGAGAACTGCTTGGGCGATCCTGCATTAAGTTAGTTGAACAAGACCCAGATGAAGATGAAGGAAATCATGAGAATGACGAACTTCCTCTCCGCCAACTAGGTCAACAAATAAGAAAAAACTTGAGTATTATAATAACATCATATGTTACAGATGGCTTCTGACACTGCATCATTTCTTGATTCGTTTTATAATACTCTTGTTGTAAAATACTTGTTTGGTACTGCTGTAATAGCACTAGACGTTGCAGTCCTTTTGTAGTTAACCCTTTGGTTTCCTCAGTTTCGTATTTCTCTGTTGCTAATTTTCTTTTTGGTGGCAATGTCTTCTTAATTGCTGGCGCTGTAATACTAACTGTTTTCTCACTGCGCTCGGTATGTAGTTCACTTCCTTCTTCTTGCACACTACCAACCTGAATGCCACCTCTAATTTTCCCAATTGTAGGATTACAGTCACCTTCCATAGCTTTCAGCAACTTTCTTTCACAAACTAACAATTTAATTGCTTTATTACCAGTTTTTTTTAGATCTGTTTTTTCTTCAATCTTGATTTCCTGTTGTTGATTTTTTTTAATATGCCTTTAGTATCTAATAGTTTACCGAATGTTGATTCGTATTTTTTCAACATCTTCTTTAAGGCATCGTCGTTTCTCATTTTTATATGCCATTATTTTCTATAGTTTCCTCATCACTTGAGGATGACATGCTTATTAATTTGATAAAAAACTGTATCCAGTAAAAATACGGACCGGTCTGTGTAAGCTCTGGAGTAAAACTGTCAGTGATGCTGAGTGAACGAACTCCCACGTCAACTACAAGCTGGAACAGGTCAGGACATGTCGCTCAAGATGCAAATACCAGTCAACCTTTTACTTCTTCTTGGAGGATATCCTCGCGAGCATAAGGTAATCGTTATGAATATGAAAACAAGGATATGCTTATACTTCTACCTT